ACAGATAGGGTCTGCCCTTGAAAATAAGATGTGCCGCTGCTGTGTATGCAAAACACATCTGCGTCATTCATCCACACAAACCACCTGGGATGCATGGCCGTTTGTAAGTCCTGTCAGTATCTGACCCTTGAGTCATTTTTGGAGAGACCAGAACTTTCATACGCCAACCGTCTTTCTTTCCTCGGTTGTAATAAAGCCCCCTCTGTTTGTTTGGTTTGTTTTCTTTTTAATTACATGTACGTGTGTAGGTACGGGTATGCGCATGTAAGTGGGGGTGCCCATGAAGGCCAGAAGCCTTGGACCCCCTTGGAGCTGCAGTTCCAGGCAGTTGTGAGCTGCCTTGTATGGGTACTGGGAACTAAGCTCCCAAGTACAGTGTGTAGCCCTATGTGCATGTCCTTGACCGCTGAGCCGTGTCTCCAGGCTAACCCTCATTCTGATTCCTCTTGGTGCTATCTAGTGCTTTTGGATTCTTTGAATCTTGAGCCAAACTTATGCGTGGGCTATCTAATGTAATTTTATTTTTTTAAGAAACCCATCATGTCAGAAGGTGATAAAAAAAAGTATGAGGGGGAACATCCCACTTCTGAACAGGCAGAGGTAGGCTGAACTTTTCAAGATAAGGAGAAATGTCTCCCGGAGTCCCAGTGAGCACTGTCTGTCCATGGCTGCTTCTCCTGGTATCTCAGTGAGGCATCAGGTTTCTGTAGGGCATCTGAATGGCCTCATAGATCAGATGTGTCCTGCCCTCTTCCCCTGGCCACAGTGGTGCATTATAGTCTGGATTAACTCTGGGCTACTGGCCTCAATCCCAAACTTGGCTGGCACCTAAGCTGTGGGAGAGTTAATAGTTTCCACAAAATATTCATTTAGACAGGTAGTGTAGTATTTGAGCCATGTACGTTTTTAAAATCATCAAGTCTTTATTCTTAGGCTGAACCTTATCATGTAACCACTACTGTGCACTGTCTCAGTTCTTACGGTTCTTACGTGGATCAAAACTCACACTGAACAATAAGTCCCAGGCAGCAAGAAAGAATTATTTTTGCACCTGTCTCCAAGTCTACCTGTTCAACATAAACACAGGCGATACTTCAACTATGTATTATCGTTCCAACAAGGGGCTGATAGACAGCCCCCCCCAACCAGCTTTACCAGAGTGGGGGCAAGCCTTTGGTTTAGGGGCTTCCTGAATTTCTAAATTCAGAAAAGGATTGTGGAGCTGGGGGGAAATAGTATTTCACTTAAAGACTTTATTTACTCACCTTGTCTATTTATCCATTCCATCTATCTACTCATCCAACACATTCTCCCATCCATCCATCCTCCATCCATCCATCATCTATAAACCTGTCCGTCCGTCCATCCATCCATCCATCCATCCATCCATCCATCCACCTGTCCATCCATCCATCCATCCATCCATCCATCCATCCACCTGTCCATCCATCCATCCATCCATCCATCCATCCATCCATCCATCCACCTGTCCATCCATCCATCCATCCATCCATCCATCCATCCATCCATCTGTCCATCCATCCATCCATCCATCCATCCATCCATCCATCCATCCATTTATCCATCCATCCATCCATCCATCCATCCATCCATCCATCCTATCCTATCCTATCCTATCCTTCTACCAGCCTGTATATCCACCCACCCACCCACCCACCCACCCACAAAACCACTATAAGAACATTCATCTCTTGCTCATTATTGAGTACCTGCTGTATACTAGGCCCTGATCTACAGCTAGACAATTCAAACTTTATATGCTCAGTCTTCGCCATTTTATGATATCAGTTGAAGCTGAGATTTTACTTCTGCAGAGTGCCGGCCTCTTGGAGGTCCCCAGGGCATACTACAGCATAAGACATTCCACGCAGAGCCCAAAAGTCAGCCCTTCAAGGATACCGTTTGCTCCTGTTGTTCAGGAGTGGGTGGGGATGTGTCTGGCAGTGGGGCAGGAGGGGCCGTGTTGGATCTGCGTCTCAAGGGACCATCAGCAAGCAAGCAGGGTTGCTTCCAGTGATGCCTGAAGCACCTGTTCTTTGAGGCCACTCTCTTTAACTTCGGGAAGATGGCAGGGGACCCAGCCGAGTGTACTGAAAGGCATAAAAGCAGACTGTGCTTAGGACCCAGGTCAGGTGTCCATGGATTGCTGCAAAGAGTAAAAAAAAAAAAAGTAGATGCTTCAGGAAAGCTTGGTGGAAACTCTGCTAGAACAGATGAGGTGGGTGTTGCTCCTGTCAGGAACTGTATGTTACATAATAAATTGATCCTTTAGTTTCCTCGTCGGGGAAACAGAAGTAGTAACTCTTCTCACAGTGCCGGTGTAAACACTGAAATTCATGCCAAGTCAGCAGCATCAGGTAGGGCGTGAGGTGTCCGCCATGTTCTCTGTGTGACTCCTACGTGCTCTCAGAACTTACTGAGTCGAGGGTGAGAAGAACCCACAGCTCTCTGACTGGAGTCAGATGAGACAAAGGACGGGTGCTCTGGCAGTGTCAAGCAGGTTGGAAGGGCAGGTAGTCCTAACTGGGCCTCCATCTGGCAACCTCCCTGGCCTTGGCTGTCAGCCAGGGCAGCCTCTGACCTCTGAAGGGCGTGTCCTCTGTTTTTCTGAGCGGGAGTTGGGCCCACAAAGGCAGCCCTTCAGTCTCAGAAATGAGTAAATATTGACGCTAGGGCTTTGGGGGCCCTGGCCGTTGCCACTTAAGCATGATGCGGATATCTCTATTGGAAGCGCAGAGTGGCTGAGGTCTGAGCTAGCCGGGCAAACCTGCTCCCTAAGGCAACCACGTTCTAAACTCCCATCCCTCACCCTCACCCCCAGGGAGCTCTTCCTCCTGCTTCAGGGATGGACAACCCTGATCATCCTGTATAATTAATCAGGTAGTGCAGTGCCACCACAAGCATTAATTACACAGGTATTTCTAAGGTGGGAGAACTGGGTGCTTGGAATAGCTGAGGAGAACAGAAGCCAGTCCCTCCAGCAGCCTCTGTGAAATGGGGGGGAACCCATGCTCTCACACTTTGATTTGGACCAATTTAGTTCTGTCCCCCCTGTCCTGTGTGAGAAGAGGCACGTATGATTTGATGCCATGAAGGGTTACCTCAGCTTTGTACTCACGATCCCTTGCGTGTGTCTGTTCACAAGCTCTCCCCACTTTCCATGGAAATACACAGAGGATATCTTTAAAGTCCGCATACCATCTTGGGCCCGGTGTACGGTGAGAGCAGACCTTCGACCTCATTTGAGAGAGATGTGCAGAAACACTTGTTGAATTCACTGCTGGATTCCCTGCCCCGTCCTGGGGTCAGCTACTATCCTGTCACCTGAACAGTTAAACTACAGTCGCCCATTGCACAGCTGGGCATATTAATTTCCAAATGGTTTTTTTGTGTGTGTGTGTTCCCTTTATCCAATTAATCCTCCTCAATCTCTTCCCTCCCTCTTTACCCAAGCCTCTCCACCCGCGACAGTCTCCCTCTTTACTTAGTCCTTTATACCGACGGTCTACCATCCCTGCCTCTAAAGGTCAGATGTGTGAGGTCACTCTTCCTGAGATGGCTAGGTGTGAACAGGGCAGATTCCCTCGTGAGCATCATGGGGAAATCCCATGATAGAAAAATGTCTGCAGTGGGCATGGAAAGACCACTTAGCCATTAAGAGTGCGTACTGTTCTCTAGAGGGACCCAGGTTTGGTACCTACATTGGGCAGCTCAAAAACTACCCACAACTCCAGTTCCAAGGGACCTGATACTCCAGCCTCTAAGAGGATTTACACCCACATGCACGCATACTCACAATGGTTTGCTTTTAATCTTAAAATTGACTGCAGTGGGACAAGAAGCTGGGAAGTTCAGGCCTGGAAGTTCATTCATCAAAGAAAAGCTTGGGAATTGCTACTGGCTGTCTCGGCTTCCCCGGCTGTCTAGGCTTCCTTGGTCAATTTCCCTGGATGTTTGTAAACACCAAATTTGATGATGTTAACCTTTGCTCTACCAACCGGGCTACTCCAGATGTCTCTACTGGATGTTGTGAGTTTCTGATTTGATGATCTCTTGAATTGAGCAATAGAATTTTCTGTTGGAAATGGTTTCCCTTCTAGAGACAGAGTCTCACTATACAACCTCGGCTATCCCAGAACTCACTCTGTAGACCAGGCTGGCCTCAAACTCACAGAGATCTGTATGCCTCTGCCTCCTGAGTACTGGGGTTAATGCCGTGCACCACCACACTATGTCTTGATGCTCTTAGCTGTGGGCTGTTCTTCTTACAGAGACGGGGGCCAGCCTGTACCAAGACAAAGGGTTTTGGGGAGACAAGGGAGCCTCCCCACTCCCAGAGTCTGCCAAGCCTAAACGGCATATGATAGTTTACCAATATAATATGTATTACAGCAGGAATACAGTAGGGTGCCCTCAAACAGGTGGTTAAGAATCTGAGGTAGAAATTCTGAATTTAGCACTGTGGCTGCTCATCATCCTGGGTCCACAGCAAATGGAGTTTGGTGTGGTATGAACAGGACAAGGTAGATTCTTAACATTTAAAAGACGGGTTCTTAGCTGCCACCAGCCTATGGAGGCCTATATTGTCGAGAGGACGATACATGGGACTTATTCTGAATTGTTCAAGGGAGGACAAAAAACAGGGAGAGAGATGGGACCAAGGTGTGAAGGGGTCCATTGTACCGTCCTCTGATGTTGTTTATATGCTTGGGACCATCAACGGGGGTAGCAAACATTTGTAGGGCTGCCCTCTGAGATTTCTCCTCCCCAGCTCAAGTTCTCCAGGTAGTGGGAGCCTGCCCCCCCCACTCCCACATTGGTCACCAGGAGTAGGGTCAAGAACAGGAACCAGCACAGTACTGGTAAAGCTGGTAGCTGGTCCCCAGACCCAGGGCTCCCAGCCAGGCTCCTCCCACTGGCTTGGAGCTGGCCACACAAGCCTCCCAGCTTCCGTAACTCCAATGTCATCACCTAGGCAACTGGACGCTGCTGCCACTGCCCTGACACTGCAAGCCACTACGGGGCCTCCAGCACCTCTACCCAAGCCTATGGACACATCCAGGGCCCAGGCTCAGCCAAGGTAGGCAGGGGCTCTGCTTGGCATTCAGTTCTGAAATTCGGGCTCTCTTGCTGTCCCCCTCCCCCACAGGGCAAGAGTCTCAAGGTTCCAGCAGGATAGGGAAGCCCCTCCTCACCAACTCACCTGGTAGCCCAGAAGCAAGGCACCACATAAGCGGGCCAGCCACACAGGCAAGCTGGTGGCCAAGACAGTCTGAAGAGGCACCATCTGTGGTTCTGGTGGCACAAGGCAACGTGTCATGGCACTTTGGAAAGCCACCTGTACTGAGTAGTCTACAGGGTCTCTCTGTGCCCCTGTGCTGTGGCAGGTCAGGATGGAGACAAGGGATTCTAACATCTCCCAGAAGTGGTTCTGGCATCTCCACAGCCTTCATTCCTTTGAACCGCCTGAATTTCTCTTTATTCCATGCCTAGGAGACAGCTAGCTGGGGCCTCTAAGGCCATGGTTAGTCCTGCAGGATGCCACCACTGCCCAGAACTGGTTCTTCTAGCTCTCCCTCCTCTGAAGTCTCTTTCAGCCTTAACCTGTGCCAGGCTTCTAGATCCTTACATGGCTGGTGCTCAACATGTCTACATGCCGGCCTCAGCAGGCCCTGCTTCTGCAGGTGTCCACTTGGGCTGCTGTCCTGTGAACAGGACTGGATGTCCTAGGACTGGCAAACTATACAGGGTCCTACCAGGATGAGAGAGAGGAAATCCCGTATAGAAATTGTTGCACTGAGGTCAGAGAACATGTGAATATACGTGTGTGTGCATACATGTAAACACCTCGGTTGTGTGGCGCACTGCGAGCCAGTGTGCACATATGGCCGGATAAGCAGCCTATGGGTCTCACTCTGTGGTTTACCACCGTGTTCTCAGCAGGACCTAGCAGTGGCCCTGGAGCCCAGATGGCTGAGTATTTCCTGAAAGAGAGATGTTTGCCCCAGTTTTAAAGTCAAGGTCTCATTTTATAGCCCAAGTTAGCCTAGAATTCATTATGTACCCTAGGCTGGTCTTAGATCCTGATCCTCCTGTCTCAGTCTCCCCAGTGTTGAGATTATAGATATGTCTCACCGTGGCTAGTTGTCTTAGACTCTCTAATTTGATTGATTACTTCAATTGTTGGCCTGGTTACCATGCATCATATGCCTGAGACCCTCATAGCCTGAGACCCTCATAGCCTGAGACCTTCATAGCCTGAGACCCTCATAGCCTGAGACCACCCCATAGCCTGAGACCCTATGCTACAAGACTGTCATAGCCTGAGACTGTCATAGCCTGAGACCCTCATAGTCTGAGACCCTCATAGTCTGAGACCCTCATAGCCTGAGACTCCTATAGCCTGAGACACCCATAGCCTGAGACCACCATAGCCTAAGACCCTATGCTACAAGACCATCATAGCCTGAAACTGTCATAGCCTGAGACACCCATAGCCTGAGACACCCATAGCCTGAGACACCTATAGCCTGAGACCATCATAGCCTGAGACCCTCATAGCCTGAGACACCCATAGCCTGAGACCTTCATAGCCTGTGACACCTATAGCCTGAGACCTCCATAGCCTGAGACCCTCATAGCCTCTGAGACCTCTATAGCCTTAGACACTCATAGCCTGAGACACCTATAGCCTGAGACTCCTATAGCCTGAGACCTCCATAGCCTGAGACTCTCATAGCCTCTGAG